GATTTCACATCTGAATCTAAATGCACATTAACAATACTTACATAGGTTAATGATACATTTCTTAAGAAATCCTTTTTTTTTTTAATTTTGGATTCACATAAAAAATTCTTCTTTGCATTAAAATCCTCAGGTCCAGTTTTGCAAACTTGCACCAGCAGAGCGGAACCAACCTGTTGCCCGCAGTTATCTCCGAGTCAAATCAGGACACACAGTCATATTTACTTACTTACTTTTTGAAATGTTACGTAAGTGAAAAAAAAACAGTCCTAGAGGTTTGCTTTATGTGGGAGTTAGTAAAATAAAAAAAAAACGTAAAATGCGACATTGTTTTATTACTGGCAGTGTAATATATTTAAAAACAGTATTCACATTACACTTACAGCATATTTAATAACCTTTACAGTGGGGATGAACATCATGCTGTATGGAAGAAGACTGAAACTAGAGACTAAGACCATAAACTCATCAGGAAACTGTTTACTATAAGACTGCATTATATCGGTTTTTATTGCAGCCAATGGAGCTCCCCCTGCTGGCCACTAGAGAGAATGCAGGTTTAAGAGACTTCTGTGCTGTCTTCACTTCACATACCCAGAGGTTCTGTCCATTATATATACTGTCAGTGGTCCACACACACCCACACACACACACACACACCCCTGTACCTCTGTCCCGTCTCTGAGCCTCCTGCAGGCTGAAGACCGTCTTTGAAGTCGACTGCTCTGTGATCAGAGGAGCAGCAACAACTGCAGCCAGATGGCAGGAAACTGATCACATGTTAGTAACGCCTCATCGCATGTCGCCTGTGTGTGTGTGTGTGCGTGTGTGTGTGTGTGTGTGTGAGAATCCGAAAACTCTGGTTTTGTGTTTCAGTGTGGACGAGGAAACCAGAGCTTTTTCTAAATGATGTTGTCAGCCTGTTCAGACACGTTCAGATGCTGCATAACAGTGACATTAAAAGGCTGTTTCACTATAAAAAAAATCAGCTTGGAACAATAATGTGTGTCTGATATGTAAAAAAGGGATTTACACATTAAAATCCTTTAAAAAGGCATCTTTTTAAAAACTGTATAAGTTGCATACTGGACCAGGGTTGACTTCCTAAACCTCCCCGGCCCTTAAAATCAGAGAAACTTTCCACTTTCAGCAGATGAGTGTGAGATCATCCCTCTAGTGTGAAACAACTCTGCACATACATGATTCAAACATCACAACACTGGGTTCAGACTGGAGGGGGGGGGGCTTTAATATTTCTGGGAGTTCACGGTTTCAGAGCAGGAGTTATAACCTCGCTGACTTTAATGTTTCACTGCTCTCTCTCTCTCCTCTCCATCACAGCTCAGAGAGTTTATTGCTCCCAGTTTCAGACTTAACACAGTGTGAAATTAGTTTCTAAAGAACAGAACCGACGTGTCGTTTTATCACCTTTTATCTCGTGTTCTTAAACTGGAGCAGACTGTGACTGAACCCGGACTCTGTGATCAATTACCTCCAGAGTCAGACTTTAATACAGTGAAAAAGTTAAAGTGAAAACATTACACAAAGACTTGTAAAAGAAGAGAGTGGAACTACTTTCTGTCACAAACACTCCCCATCAAGTCAAAATTGATGTTTAAGTGTTTGTATCACACATGTTCTCCAGTGTCTGACCCAGCAATGACAAATAATTCATTGTTTTCGGTATTTTAGAGTTTCCTGAAAAACAATGAATGTAATTAATCATCATCCTGCACTCGGGGGCGTGTACTAACGCTGCTTCCAATCAAACGCACTCCCTCTTATGGCGCCGCCGGAGCATTTCTGAGGGCTGAAAGCTAATGTTAGCAATATGCCAGCTAAGAAGCGATTGATATAGCTAGTTAGTATTTTGCTAACATTAGCTTTCAGATGTATCAAGCTAACTATTGATGTACATTAGCCAACGAGTCAGCTAGCGTTTCACTCTGACTGACTTTATTTAGTGATTTGGGTGAAAATGGATCAGATTTGATGAAGAAGAGAGTTCCTGGTCTTCCCTCTGACGTCCTCCGGCTGCTCAGCTTCAACTCTCTGTGATTTACAGTTTCCTGATGGACAGATAGCTACTTGCTAAACCAAACCGTATCTGGATGGAGAGACACCAAACAGTTAAAGACTGGGAGGTTTGGACACCCTCACATTTACACACCAGCAGAAAATTAGCATTTTGGCAGCAGTTAGCTTTGATAATGAGCAGCCGAGAGAGTGACTGCACTTCATTTGTATTAAATTAAAGAATCAGTCAACAGTGAAGCTTCAGTGTCCTCAGAGAGGATCAAACGACTGATGGAAGAACAGAACGTTTTCACCACAGTACAGAGGCAGAAGTAAAAGTACTAATACTGTAAACATACTCTCTATAAAACCTGATGAGTTAGTTCAACTCAAACAACCGATCGCCTTAAATGTAAACATACCTGTGAAGGTTATTCTCCTCCTAAATGTTACACACTGGACCTTTAACACTGTCAATCCTAACAGCATATCCTAATAAAAGAAATAAGATAACAGAGTGAGTCACTCTTTCCCGGAAATTAAACTCAACAAAAAAATTAACTGTTGAATAACTCAGTAGTTTAAATTGAATTGAATTGAATT